TCCTTTTTAATAAACAAGTTGGAATGCCTTCATTTGGAACTTCATTGAACAAAGGCACGTGAAAATTGGTAACGTAATCAAAGTGGGCAAGTGGTGGATTGCTCTGGTTGTTAAAGTTGTCCTCTTCACCCACTGCATCTCGAGCTCAAATCCTAAAGGATGTGGCTTAGACATGGATGAGTTTTGCGGCGTTCATTCTTTATCTCTAGGGCCAGGCCGTGAAAACAAAAGATGAATCCCCTGACCCTTATCAAATAAAGTATGTTAATTGTTTATGATCATTATCATCGTCATCATCCTCGTATTCATCTTTCACATTGTTCTTCTTTTCCTCTAGAAATGTGATGAGACCTTGGAGTGCAACTTCAGCCTCCTCACTCTTCATTAGCTCCTCTGCCACTTGTGCAGGCGTGGCCTTTGTTTTCTGCAGTAGGGTTTCAATCTTCTCATACAAAGGGTGGGTTCCACAGATTTTGAGATAATTGCAAGCCAGCGTTTTGAAGCCCTCGTACGTGCAAAACGACATGTGGATGTGCATGTCCATTCGTCCAGAACGAAGCAATGCAGAGTCGAGCTTGCTCTTGTGATTGGTAGTGAATACAATGATTCTCTCTTCTCCACAACTAGACCACAGCCCATCTGTGAAGTTTAGTAGTCCGGATAGCGTAAGCTGTGCACAAAAGCAAAAGGAATCATATGAAAATCAAAAGCGCTTTCAGACATATACATACATACATACATATATATATACATACATACATATACACATATATATATATAGGATGCATGCTAGTGTCGTGTATCAAAGTCATCCCGATTACAAAACATTGTACTGAGTTTTGGTGAACTTGTTATATACTATGGGTAGGTTTGATACATATGGAATAAGTGCAGCCCTCCCACTTGGAACAGATTTTATACACTAAGCTTTAAAAATTTAAGCAATCGGATAATTGATCAATAATTTATATCAAGCCAACACAATAAACCACAACATCGGAACAATATCTCTAATTTTATGACCTCAAATGCTAAATCACTTACATATCTTTTGATGAAGATAAAATTTGTAAAATATTACGCTCTAAACATTTTAAAGCCGTGTTAGACGACTACTAAACTCTAAAAATTTAATCAATCGGATAATTGACCAACAATTTATATAAGCTAACACGATAAACCACAACTACGGAGCAATATCTTATTTTATGACCTCAAATGCTAAACTATCACTTGCAATATCTTATTTTACTAACCTGATTGCCTTCAAACTCGGGCTTTTTTATGCCATAATTATTTTGTTTCCGATCTTGAACCGCCGGCTGACTACAATCGATGTCCTCAATCACAAGGATTGACTTATTTGTTGTTGCCAGCAACACCTTTCTCAATTCCATATCCGTTTTCAAATGTGTAAGTTGCAAATCAAAGACATCAAACTTGAGGTAATTAGCCATGGCAGCTATCAGGGACGACTTTCCAGTTCCTGGAGGACCATATAGAAGATACCCTCTCTTCCAAGCTCTTCCCACTCTTTGGTAGAACTCCTTCCTCTTCACAAATCTGTCCAAGTCCTCCACAACCGCAGCCTTCAGCTCCGGGTCCATGGCCACCGTCTCAAACGTTGCCGGGTGTTCGAGATTGATTGCCTCCCATCTGATCTTAAAAGCATCTAACCTCACAAGTGTATGCAGCTTCACAACTTTGCCTTCTTCTTTCATAGCCTTAAATCTCTCCATGACATAAGGCAAGTAAGAATTCATGACCTTTTCCTTGTGTCGCAAGTCAAACACAAGTTCAAAGTATTGCTTTTTCTCTGGAACACTGTTATATGATGAAGAGGAAGTTGGATTGTACTTGAAATTCTTGGAAACGGAAACGAACTTCCATTTCAGCTGGATCCCTTCGTACGAGTCATCAAACTCTTGGTTGTTCGAAAACTGGACGGTGAAATTAGTCTCTTTACGAGCTTGCGCAACTTTGAGAAGCCGAGCTGAAGGGCTGATCTTGTCTTTCAAGTAAAGATCTAACGCATCGTAGACTTTGTTACGCGTGCTCGTGCCGTGGTACTCTTCGATCTGCAGCGTCACGGGTTTTGATAAGAAACGTATGAAGAATCCGTCGAGGACCGACACGAGAAATCGTATCGTGGGCAGTAAGCAGTACTCCATGGCCTTGGACCAAACAAGGATCAGATAAGCAACCATATTGGAAGGACAAGCTGGAGTTACCTTTATCATATGATCCATGTTAACAAAATCTGCAAAAATGTGGAAATTAAACCCCAAAATAAACCTGAATTATTCAATTAAACCTCATGATTTAGATATAAAAAAAATTACGATTCTGGAAACCTAAATTATAGAAATGATCAAGCGAGGAGGAGATAATACCTGAGTGATTGAGTCTTGCTCATCAACTGAATTCAAGAAGAACGTAAGTCAATAAGTCGTCTTAGTCAATGGGAAGTTCGAAGTCTTCGTCGATGATTACGTTCTACCTAATACCATTTGGAAAATTGACAAAAAAATATACCATTTGGAAAAGGAAAGACCATGGTCCCACTAATAGTCTATGAGATGTGAAATTTGATTTTTCTAAAACGAATAAATCAATTTGAAAATTTTAAGTTTTAACGATAATGACAAAATAAAAAGTAAAATAAATAGTACCAGAATTGACTTTTTAGTGTAAAAATGTGGTTTTTCATTAAAGTGAACAGTACCGAAGGCTTTTCGTTAAAATTTCATTTTTTAAATAATGTGTCACAACGAACCGTCGAAATTTCTTAAAAAGTATTATTATAATGCAAGATTATCAAACTTGTTAAACAATTCTTGTTGAGGTTTACTAGAAGCGATAAAAAGAAACAAAGAAACTACATAAAACCGACTGAAAAATCAACGCCAATAAAAGTTGAGCGATTGCCTTTGCTCGGACCTTCTTGGAAATTTCCCCGATGAAGATGTCAAGGACAATGAATAATATTTCATGCATGCGTGACCTCATTATAAAAAGTGAAGACTTGCATGTAACGAAGTCATCATCATTCATGCTAATTATGTAAGGATATGTTTTAGCTTTTTTCTACACGTTCTTGTATTATTGGCACCGGACGTCACTGTAGCGGTAAACCCGTGTTATACAAGTTGTTCTCATTACAAAACATTGTGTATGTACTTGTTTACATTAGATGGATATAATTCTTGTATTTTCTTCTTTCTTGATTGAATTATTTGCTCCTAGTACGATCCAATGGTGAATTTGCATTTGAAGGAAGTTGTTATGTATATAAACTTAATATATTCTAATCGAAATGCTTACTTGTAAAATTAAAACATTGACAAGTCCCCTTATTTCACCGTCAAAAACCTTTATGACTAAAAATATAGGAAAACTAATGAAAAATGCTATAAAACTTTAAATTTTAACGATAAGGATACAATAAAGGGTAAAGTGAATAGCACCATGATTGACTTTTTAGTGTAAAAATTTGGTTTTTCGTTAAAATGAACAGTACTAAAAAATTTTCGTTAAAATTCGCCGATAGTCTCTCAAAATAGTAATGTCCACTGAAGTGAAAGCTTTGTAGCTTTTGTCAAAAACTGTTTCTTTGAGATTAATTTCTTATCTTTGCGTCTAATGGTTATAGGCAAAATTGACAGGTAATCTCCATCCCTCATCTAAAAGGGGAAGTTAGCACTCCTTCAATTCAAGAAATTTTTCATTGTGTCCAAGATACGGATGGGTACATTACGTATTATTATATAAGCAGAGAAAAGTTTTTTTTTTTTTTCAAGTTGTTAACTTTTTAACATAATTATCTAAACATTTGTAGTAACACGTCACACGTAATGTATCGCCCTATGTTCCCGGCACATACTAAAAAATCTCTCCAAAGTTTCAACCCACCCTTCCCTCTTGACGATTGCCGTGGCATTTTTGGAACCCAAATTGGCTCGGACCCATGCTCATTCAAGGTCCAAATATAATTCGGACCCATAAAAAGCTACATTTAGGGCTGGTTTGGTATTGCTGTGCTTTGAAAAAAAGCTGCTGTAAGAATAAGCGGCTGTGCTGTGAGAATAAGCGGCTGTGAAAAAAATCAGCAGAGTGTTTGGTAAACTTTTTTGTAAAAGTGCTTTTGGAAAAAAAAAAAAGCAGTCTCATAGTGGGTCTTTTCATTAAAGGAGCACTTTAGCTCCGTGTGCTTTGAAAAAAAAACCAGTTTTCCAAAGCTGCAAATAGCAGCTTCAGCTTTTTTCTTTGATTTCAGCTTATTCTCACAGCAGCTTCCAAAATAAGCCTTTTTTTTCAGTTTACCAAACACCTAAAACCCTCACAGCTTTTTTTCATGGGTGCTTTTTTTTTAAGCACCTCACTCCCAAACCACCCCTTAGCTTGATCAATTTTCAGTCCCACCCAATCAATAAACTTCAAAATCGGCCCAACCCGACCCATTTTATTATGCCAATAAGTTGATCTCAAAGTTGGAATTGGATCCTCTCTTGAGCAAAGGCTTGGGATCCTCTTGACCTGCTAACATGGACCGTTGAATTTTGATCATACGGCTACAATTATTATAACTTTTAGAGAGGTCCCCTATTTGTAACCGTTGAATCAAAATCCAACGGTCCGTGTTATTGGATCAGGAGAGGATCCTGAACCTTTGCTCAGGAGAGGATCCAATTCCCTCGAAGTCAAACGCCTCCATTTGTGACGTCAGCATTGCCCAAGCATATGGTATAGTATTATAGTTAGCTTACCTGCGAACTAATCCCAATTAGGCAACTTAATTACCATCATAATATTGACGGCCATAAAGATAAGGGAAATTTTATTTAAACCTATGTAACCTATCTCTACACCCAACTTATTCTTTGCATCCATTTGATTTTTAACTAAACTATTAATATCTCTTTAAACCCAAATTTATTACCTAATATGCCCCTATAAATCCAATTCAATATGTGAATTTATTTTTACACCCATTTGATTTATAACTTTATCTTTACGCCGTTTGGAAATGGACAGTGAGAATTGAGTTGTGAATTCAGTCATGGCTGACAACAAGACTGACACTTCCTGTAGATGTTGACAAAAACCATGCATCACCATCTTTCTCCGTGTGGTCTCTGTTGTTGAATATTTTAAATATATATATATATAGGTATATATATATATATATATATATAATAGGTATATATATATATATATATATATATATATATATATATATATATATGAGTGTGGCGTTTGTCAGGAGAGGGTTAGTCACCCAACAATCACATTCTTTGGAATTTGAAAACTGCCGTACCTTTTATTGTTTGGTGGAAAAACAGGATGCATCCCGAACAGATGCATGCCCTTTTCCAACATACGTAATTATTGGTAATTCTGCAATGTTTAGTTGTATCTCATGGTGAGAGGGCACACCCAAAACCAAAGGATATGTCTAAAAGGTGCAATTCTCTCTATATATATTGGTAACATTAGTAGAAAATGAATCATTCAGAAATTTGTTGTCTACATAATTTCTTTGCTCTCTTTTCTCTCCTCATCACATTTATACAATTTCTTTCTAGTTATTTTTAAGGGAATACAATTCGGTTTTGCTAATCGAATATTCCATACTTTGTTGTATCCTGGAAGTGATTTGCCAAGAACCCTTTAGCAAACTCATTCGAGTGGGGGCAAATAACACTTTAAGGAAACGATTCAAGTCGTACCTCAAAGTCATTATTCGAATTATTCTCCATATTTCTACATTTAATCTAACATCTGTTTCATGAGCATATGTGTCTGCTGCCATACCCTTTCATAGGAATCTTTCTATGGGCTTCATGAAGTGCATGGAGCACTAGTAATCAAATTAGGTTTGTTCGAAAACATTATTGTTTGTTTGACAAGATAATATCTCTATAATTTCGAAACTGCACACTCACATATCAATTACAAATTTTGCTTATGAAATTCCTACCGATCCAATACCATTGTACAAGTCTAACCAATGACCAGGCCTTAACGATGCAAGACAACCACCACCAGCCTAAGATTTGTGGCACACATATTAATTTACAAGCACAAATGTCGAATTTACAAGCACATATGTTGTACACAAGACTTACTTACCTGTAGGATATCAAAGGCTGCAAATTATATTGAATTATATTGTATTTCAAGATGCATCTTCGTTAGTCTCTGGTGTTTGAATGTCAGAAATATTATTGTTTGTGTGAAATCGTAAATACTAATTTAGTACATGAAAATTTAAGAATGTACATGTAAAATTTAAAATACTCATCTTCTAAACTCTAAAAAATTGAAATCAAACGAACAAAAAATTCATAAATTGAGTCATACGTTGGTTGGAGGATTCATAACTTCAAAATCACCATCCATCACTAAAAAATTTTGTTTTTCTCTATGAGAGCTATTAGAGTTTTAGCCGGAATGAACGTAGGATAAACAAAGAGTGATCGTAGGGTTTAATTATAGTGTTTGAGCTTATTGATAAATTTGAGTTTTATTATTAATTTCATTTTGTACTTAATAGTAATTATGCAATAGGATAATATAGATAATTAACATTTAAAATTTAAGTTGGGTGTAGAAATAGGTTATATGGGTTTAAATAAAATTTCTCTAAAGATAATCATGATTTTTGGAAAAAAAATCTTTGTATTATTATAGCCGATTTTTGCAGCTTTTGCGTCCAACAATAATCTCTCACAAATCCCACTAATTTAATTAGAAAACAATGATGGTTGCTTAACGTCCAAGGCAAGTATGTCTTCCACCTCATAAAACAAGGAGTGCATCCTTCTAACATACGCACAAGGCACTAACACACAGCTAAAAAGGTGAACAAGTCCACAAACATACATCTTGTGAACCAACTATCCATATAAATATCTAACAAAATTTAATATGTAGCAACATCATGTGTGCCACTAATTAAGATCTATAGGTATAATCATATTTATCATCTTAGCGTGTGTGTGTGTATATATATAATGTAAAAATTTAATGTGTAGCAAAATTTTAATATCGTCAAATTCTTGCCTATAATGTAATAATTATAATTTAAAAGAACTTTGGAATAATTTTGTAACAAGTTATTTTCAATTGTGTGAGAATGTTTGGGTGCAATTTATTTCGCGTCATCTATTTAATATTTATATTTGTAAATTGTAGTTAAGTTGTCGTCGTGAGTTTGTTTTTTGGTTCTTATTTTATTGTAAAAGAAACACAAATTATTATATGACTTCATGTATTTGAATAGGGAGATGTATCTTTAGAATAAGATTATCGAAGACAATTCAAATCAACATAGCGTAGTGTTGATTACGAACGTATATCAACATAACCACGCATTCCAAAATTTGTGATGCCATTGTACATCTCTAAAATGTCATGTTGCACCTTGAATTTAATATAACTATTCTATTAGTTAAAAAAAAATGGAGCTTGAGTTAACTAATATTTAATCCAAAGAAA